CAACAAATGTACAAATGTGCTTGACACAATGGATGTATGTATGGATTGTAATAAGAATTTTACAAGCCCCCAATAAAATGACTTTTAAAAATCCACACATCAATTTTATCAAGCATCTTTGTACATATGTAGCCATCATTATTTTCTAAACATTTACATTCTATTTGAGCCCTTGGTATTAGCTCCTCTTTTTACTCTCCTCCCCCCTCCCGCCCTCGTGACCCCTTGATAAATTATAAATTATTATTAGTTTCATGTCTTACACCAACCACTGTTTCACTTCCCCCATGATTTCTTCCCTCCTGCTCTCCCCATCTTCCCTTTACCTTCCTGGCATCGCTATTCCCGTTTGAAACGAATTCTTTACGGGGAGAGGACAGACAGCCTCATCTTTCTCCCATGCAGCGGCTGGTGGGTTCAAACTGCTGACCTTGCAGTTAACAGCCCAACATGTAGCCCACTACACCATGACGGCTCCAGTGATCAATATGAATAGTATTTTAATGCAGTAGTAATCACTATAAATAATATGTTCATGCTATATAAGCGTCAAAACCAATGGCAAAAAAGTTGAACCAAGTCTCTGTATGCTCTGACAGGGTCAGGGTAAGGGTCAGGTGAGGAGGACCGAGTGACACAAGGAGAGGTGGTGCCCTGTGTGTCCCACCCACAGCTGACGGTTCCTGGACAGCCAGGCCCCGTCTCCACTCTCTGCCTGTCCTCTGGAGGCCGGCTAGGGTAGTGGTTATGTGGTGGGATGCTGACTGCAAGGTCAGCAGTTCCCAAACACCACTGCTTCGTGGGAGGAAGACGAGGCTGTCTGCTCGTAAAGACTTGGTCTTCGAAACCCACAGTCCTATTGTTGTTATGTGCCATCGACCCTTAGCGGCTCTGAGCCGGAATGGACTTGGTAGCAGAGAGCTTGCAGGGGGTTTTAAAAATAAAGATTGTCAGTCTCAGGAGCAGTTCCCAGTGCTACTTTGAGTAGGTATCCGCTGGTGGCCTGCGTTTGAGTTTGGCCTGTCATCTGCACTCCTTCCACTAGGGGGGGAGTCTACCACACAAATCTGTCCTGAGGCTTAGGCTGGTCTTCCCCTCCCAGCGGTTTTCTAGACTCTGAAACACACCGAGAGGGAGGGGGACTGAGGGAGAGAGGAGAGAGGAGAGCAGAGGGCAAGGGGGTATCCCGGACACGACAGGGGAGGGGAAAGGGAGATTGTGATTCCTGGTCCTTGCTATTATTGGACCATGACCCTGACTGGAGAAAAGAAAGGCGAAATAAGAACATAAAACCCTTAGCTTCTCCTCACACTTCCACTTTAGCGCCCTAGAGCCATGGAGTCCAATCCACCTCAAGGGGCAGCGTGGACCTGCGCCTGTGTGTTTCTGAGACTGACAAGCGCTGAAAGCCTCTCATCTTTCTCCTCTGGAGCGGCTGGTGGGTTCGAACCGGCTTGTAACCCACGACCAGGGCTCCCCGCGGGTTTCAAGTCCACTCAATCCTCATGGCTGCCTGGGGGTGTGTGGCAGTCATCCCAGAGGCAAGACACCTGGGTTCTAGTCCCTGCTCGTCTTCAGATCCCCTCGACCAAGTCATTTGTGACTTTGACCAAGTCATTTGACTTCTGGGGCCCCAGTTTCTTCCCCATCTGCAAAATGAAGGCTTGGACCAAGGAATCTCAGAGCTCATTTTGACCCCAAACATGCTTCTGTCCCCAAAACTGCGTGTAGCTGGCCAGGGTGGCTGCCCTGCTGAAGACCTTTACAAACTCACGGTCACTCAGCTTCCTAGACTCGCGCATAGGGGCCCTGCTGGCAGAGCGGGGTACGCAATGGGCGGCTACCCACAAGGTCAGCGGTTTGAATCAACCAGCCACTCCAAGGGAGAAAGATGAGGCTTTCTGCTCCTCTAAAGACTGACAGCCTGGGAAACCCGCACGAGCAGTTCTTGTCCACCTTCTAGGGACACCCACCGGGAGCTGGAATCG